TGCCGTTGCTTCGGGCACCGCCGCCTGCCGCGCGTTTATTACGAATATAATGAGCCGCGGAGCACCTGAACTTGCTCCTTGAGGGGGTGAGCGGTGGGACCACCTGAAGCCTCGAAAAAACCTCGCCCTGACAGGTACCATTTTTTTCGGACTTCCAGAGCAAGCTACAAGCCCGATCGATACGCAGACCCGAATTTTTCATTTTGAAATGAACTTGTGGACGGGGAGTCCGGCGATTGGCTTGATGAATAAGGCCGAAGAATCGGGTGAACGAGAAAATTGACGAAAAATCACTATGATGGATTTCGCGGACTTTGTATGTGTACATTAATTTTTTAACATTAATAATAAATTGATAATTTATAAAATATTAACTAAGTTTCTAGGCTTTGTAGAATTGTAAAATAACAAGAGAGTATAAGCAGACGAAAAAATCAGATATAGCAATATTAATTATTATTGATTAATTATTGATGAAAGAGAATTCTGTGAATTATCGTGAACGAGATATGTGATTTACATTTCGCATCACTATTCATTGCGAGAAATAAAATTGTTCTGTATTTAATTATGACTTTAACATGATGGGAACATCGGAGCGGAGAGGCAAATTCAATTTGATCTCGGGGTGATGCGATGACAAATATTTTCGTCGTTGGCGCGCTGCGAGAGAGCCACTTAGGCGTTTTACATAAGGGTGCGACCTACGAAGGGTCTGGTATGCCAGACACGCGCCGTGATTTGTTTTCCCTTTCCACAGCGACCGGTCCCCCTCGCTGCAACTGTCCGGGAAAATATTAACTCGATCCGCGCGTCTCCGTGCCGGTGATTGCGAATACTCCGACCACGGTGTCTCACGTCCCCGGTATCGACGTGCTCGCATTATTCGTCAGTTTCACCCGGTCATTCGACATATCCGACTTTGAGACACATCGAGTTTGCATTTTCCGTGTAACGCGTGCATCACACTTCACATAAAAAAAAAAAAGAAAAAAAACAAATGCGAAATTATTTTTATAAATACCATATGACATATTTCGCGAATATTCACATAATAATTTTTCAATTATTGAATAACAAATCAAGTTTGTACGATGTAAAATCTTAGTATTGTACTGCTAACACGCTTGCAGTTTAAATGTCTATTAAAAGTGCAAAATAACAAAAGCACGCAACACTCTCTTTCTCTAATGAGGTCGGTTACGCGCACCTCGTGGTTTGACATCCGCCGTTGCGGATCTATGCAAACGAGCGGCTAATTATGTTACGAGCCTGTAAAAACTGCACCTTGTTAGAGGAATGCTGTGGCAGCATGACGACGAACGGGCGAATAAATTCACAAAGGGAGAGAAAGGAGTTGGCAGGAGCTGCGGATCCTGTGCGCGCATTTTGCTTCCCCCGAATGATTCTTTCGTTGACAGCAAAGAGGAATTCGTGAGGAGTTTGGAAGAAGAGGAACGCTTGTGTATTCCGACGCTTTGTAGAATCTTAATGCAATCTTTTCCTAACGCGAAATATCCATTGTTTGAAAATATATTATCGCATACTCTAAAACTTTCACAACGCGACGTCATATATCTTTAAGTCGATATTTGATTTTATTTAAATATCTCGTACGTTCTTCAAAAATTCTTTAATGTCATTACATTCTAATGTTTACTTTGTTTCTGGAAAAATTACATTTTATTCTGCAGAATTATACGATCTATAATAACGTGACAAAATCGGTGCGATGTCGGCTGGCCGTGTGATCATGTCGAACGTTCCGAGAAGGCGAAACAAGATACACAAGACCCCGCCGGCTACGATCGCTCGGGCAGCTAATTATTTTCTTCGGCACCATTTCAGTATCCAGAAAACGCTCTCTCTAGTCCGGCTTGTGCGTTGGATTGGCGATCCAGAAGCCGGTCGTCCGAAGCGCGCGGCCAGATACGAGGCGACGCCGAGAGCACCTGAGCGTACAAACGAACCGAGGCTAACGAGAGGAAGGAGGACGGTACTAGACGAGCCGGTAATAAGCCGAGCCAATGGAAGTGCCAGAGAGGGTAGCATGTTCTTCGCGAGGAGTCGGAGGAGGACACGGCGAGGCCTCCTAAAGTAGATTCGTGCCGAGCGCCGGTGTATAATGACGCGCTCGCGCTCGCGCTCGCGCGCGCACGCGAGACCAAGAGGCCGGCAAAGGGTTCGAGGAGGGAAAAAAGGAAGGCAGGACACAAAGGAGGAAGGAGGACCTCAGGTCGTTCGCGCCGCAGGGTGAAGCGAGAGGCCAGAAAGGGTGGAAGTGAGTGAGGCTAACAATGAAGGAGAGAAAACGAGAAAAAAACGCGATGAGGAAGAAAGAAGGAAAGGAAGAAGCGAGAGAAGAAGAAGAAGAAGAAGAAGAAGAAGAAGAAGAAGACGACGACGACTAAAGAGGAGGGAGAAGCTTCGAGTGTCGGCACCTTGCCGCCAGAGCGGACCACACACGTCGACGAGTGGCTCTCAACTTGAGGATATCCGCTTCGGATTGCAGCCCGAAAGGATCTTCAAATTCATGATTTTCGACGCGACTCGAGTTTTGGATTATTTATCCGTATCTCCATTTCTGTATTTCGATTTCTATCTTTTTATGTATCAGAGAAAAAAAAGAATAATATCGACAGAGCAAGTATAGCCTTAAACGTCGGTTTATTATTATAAATTACGCGAGATACGCTATCTATGCATCAAATAATATTTTTATCGTAAAAATGTATCTATAATTGTGTAACAATATAAATGTTAAATAAAATCGTTTTCATAAAGGTAAAATTCGTTCTAGGAATTCAGTATTATTATTATGGGAGCTAGTTTAGAATATATACTTTGCAAAAGCTGAAGAATTTTGCGATTAATCAATAATCGCGAATTCTGGAGAGTTTTGAGCGTGGGAACGTGATGTCGCTATCGCGCCATCGTGTCGTGAATGATACGTTACTTTGTATGAAGGATGTTTCTACGCGGCCCCTTGTTGCGAGAAGAAAGCGATATCTCGATGGCGTGACAGGTGAAATCACAACGAGCGGTTCTCGCTCTACTTCCGCGGCGAGTGTGCAGCGTCGATTTCGGCACGGCAATTTCGAGCCTCCCCTCTGAACAAGGAATCGCTCGTGGATAAAATTACAAAGTTGCATAGGTAATGATAGCCCTGCGCGTTCGTGCGTCTGCATTCGAAACTAGATAATGCGAGATCGGGCGAAATTATTTCCCGAGGGGTCGAGGGGCCACCGAGCTGTTTGTCAATAACGAGAGTGTCGTGGGGATCGTCGCTATTAATCGACTCGGCGATTATCGTCAACAGACGAGCGGCAAATTTTTGTCATCCGCCGACTTAGCGCGCGTTGAAATTTGCAATTAAATATGCAAACGTTTGTGTATTACTGTAAAGCAGCGGAACAATATTATACGGACACTGTATCTCATGAAACTTTATATGAGACAAGCTACATACATATGGATGGCACGCCTGGCAAATTATAACTACGCAGCCGAGGAATAACGACGTTAAAGCGTGACATGACGGGTGAAATCTCAACGAGCGCCCGATTCGCCGTGCATCTCCCGCTGCAGCTCGCGGTCGATCTCGCGCTGCCGACGACGCAATGATGTAAAAAAGTTTCTCCGGTTGATTAAAATCGAGAGAAATGTCAGCTCTGCAATTACCGGGCTCTCTTGTGCCGGTCATCGGTACGCACGGTACGCACAAACATATGTAATCGTGTCAATGGTCATCGATCTCGAGTTAATTCAACAGACGTCGTCGAATTAGTGCTCTCCTCTCGACATTTCTTATTTTTTTCCCGCACACGTCTGACATCGTGTCTTAAATTGTTACGGCGAGATCGAAATTCTCATACCGATCTTACTTTGTGCAACACGTTATGGTAAATGCTGTGTATTAATTAAAAAAAATTTTTTTGCGCTAATTAATACGAGTATCTCGAGCTTGCGTGACGATTGATCAAACTGATATACCGATTATCTCTGAGTAACAATAATTATCCGGGAATGTTTATAGCGTGCTGACAGTATTGATATTTTAACTACATGTCGAGAAGGTTGTTATTTCACGAGTCACGAACAATTTTTTATGATGCTTTTCAATTTATCAATTGAAAGATTGCAATTTTCGATTCCTTTTATGCGCATGAATTTCGTGTCTGCTAATTTCTTGAATCCTTTCACAACCGCGAGCCACAGCAGGAAGCTGAGAATATTCCGACAACGCGCTGGCTACTACATTCACATGCAAATCGCCATTAAGTGGCAACGTTCTCAAATATTTGATCATCAATGTATTAAAAAAGAAGCTGGTTTCGATTGAGGGCGAAAACGCCAACTTTATATCTCTGTGATACGAATGTTGTTTATAAAATTCACTTTAATTATAAATTTATATTTAAATTGAATGTAATTAATTATAAAAACATAAATATTACATCAGAAATCGTGCTCACTGCAAGTATAATTAATAATTAAGAAATTAATGCTCCAAAAGTTTTTAAATTTTAAACAATTCGTCAATTTTTACTTATTCGATATATGTCTGCATGTTTCTTTTTTGCTCTTGCTCATTAGACTTCACTATTTCAATTAAACGTTCTATTTATTTAATGCGTTGTTTAGTAGCGCGACTATTAGCCGGAGATACGGTCTGTCACAATCACAGATATAATAAACCGACCGACACACGAGCTTCATCTTTCCATCTCTTTTTCCTTTTCGCATTTTTCTCACTTCTTTCCGCTAGAAGGACTTTTCGCTCTGCCCTTTAAATTTTCCCTTGCCGCCTTTTTTACTCATTCTTTTATAAAACAGCAGCACGCTAATGTATACAGTGTTAGCGGCAAAAACACTTTACGGGTACGTTTGGTAGCGTTTTCGAGCATGTCGTTTCCAGCGGATTCGCCACGCTCGCGGCACCGGCGAAAATGGAAATCTGGAGCGTCGCTCGACAAAGCGATAATATCAAAAACGACTCACCAATTTTTTCTGCTGCGGGAAACTGGTGGTTCCAATTCTCATCACACAGCTGTCGCATTGCACATCTATAACAATAATATATAGTAAGTATTAATAATAAATTAAATAATACATAGTTGTGGTTTTAATACCGAAGTAAACAATAAATTTTACGCCATTTAGTAAGATGCATTCCACAAAGAATTGCCATGCCGCAATGCATTTATATGCGCTGGTATTGTACGTAAAATGATATTTTATTAGTTGCATCACTACATATCGTGAGAAATTCCTAGCAAACACGGAAGAGAGTAGAGCTCGGTAATAAACTAAAACTTTATCATTAGCGCTGTAAAATTTTATGGGTACTTAAGAATTAAACAAAACATACGCGAGTTTTAAGTCGAACGAATGTCGAGCGAGCAGAAACTAGGAGAAACCCATTTGTGACGTGCGAAACTGTCGGAGAGACTTTTTTGAGCGTTTTCCTGCGTTTTTAGCCTGCACGCTGACGCTTTAAAGTTGGGAAGTCAAAAGTCACTGAAGAAAAAAGTCACCGGGGCTGATTTCTAACCGGTGTAGCCGTTAGAGTGAAAGAATTGCTAGCATTCTCGGGGAACGAGGAGGAACCCTAAGAGTTAATCGTTGAATCCTATTTACTTGGGTCACCCGCTTTCGACACGCTCGCCGTTTCCGAATAGATCCAAGCTGATGTTTGCGTTTTCCCTTTCACGTTTCGGCATCCTTTTGAAATCCAACGTCAAAACAGATTGACATAGCTGGTTCCGCGTAAATATGAGAATATTAAAGTAAACGGGTAAAATTTTCTATTTTGCGACGCTTGCGATTTTCTAAGGAGGCAGGAAACGACTCTATTATATCGTTGGATTTTTCTGCCTATTCTGAAATCTTAGTAGATTTAGGTATAAGAAAAATATCAATCATTTCTTATGTATTTAAATCTTTTCCTTTCTAGGATTTATCGTGATCTATCGCGCTAAACATTTTAAAAAATAATTTTAAACAATTTGTAACAATTGTTGCATAAATTTCTGATAAAAAAATTTCTAGAATTTATTAAATTTAATTCATTTAATTTAAAATTAATTTATTTTGTGCATATTTTGCACAAAATTTAAATTCAAGAATAGTATCGTTAAGAACTTTGACGCATTATAGTAACTACATTTTGAGGATTTAAAATACGGATTGTGATTTTTTAAGTCGGATAATCCCGTGTACAATAAATACAATCCCAGGTTAACTCAATAAACTAAGGTTTATCCGTTAATCGCTATTATAATCGATGTTGAGTCTGAAGTGTTACAACGAAGTCTCCGCACACTTTCAAAGATAAAGTATAAGAAATATGCCTTCAAAACGAAATGTCACTTTTGTGATTTTTACCAGGAGAAATCACACTTCTCACCGGACTGTCAATAAACTGTCACGATGTAGTTTTGATGTCTTAGTCAATGAAATCAGATTATCTCTGAAGGATAACAAAATCCTACACTCAGGGCGACAGCACGTGCCTACCTGCTACAGCTATTTAAAAATATTTTTTTCTTTTGAGTTCATGATACAAAGTGTAGCGGAAAAATCGAAAAATCGACTAAATCCGTGAAATTGGGACAGCAATAGAATTCGATTTGACCCTGTTTTTATATGTGAATAATTTTAATTATTTCATAAAATAGATATAATTGTTCCACTACAATTTTTTGTAAAGTGACAATAGAAGTTCTAAGCCCTTGATAACATTTCTTGGATGTAATGCTTGTCAATATTTTCCGATTCAAATTTTCTACGAAGAGAAAACTAAAAGAATTCCCTGGAGCGCAGTTAACAATAAACTGAACAATACAATGGTCCTTGACTATTATTAGTGTTTCCGCTATTGAATCTATTGTAATTTTGACAACACAGTCGTGACAATATCATGTAAAATTGCAAAGCCGGAAAATTATTAAGGACACAAACGAGTATAAAGCAAGTGTTTGTAGAAAAAAATGTAGCAAAACATACTCAATCTTCTGAATTAAATTATTGCAGAATTCAATGTTTTTTTATTGACTTGAAAAAATACCTAGCAAAAATAATAGCAGAAAAAATAGTAGAAAAACGAGTTATTCAAGCGAAGAAGCGAACTGAAAAATACGTTGGCCAGCGGAAAGTCATTGTGACAAAATATAACTTTGATGGCAAGTGCATATAATTGCTGCGTATGCAATCAACTTTTTCATAAGATAGTTTTTAAAAATATTCATATTGAAAAATCATATTAAAAAAGAATTCACTTTTAAATTCGTATATGTATGGATAGTGCTATTTTTCTACATTTTTCTATTCGTTACATTTTTCTTTGCGACGTTGTACGTGTTTGTGATTCTCTGAGATAAGCTAACAATGAGAAAAGACTAAACAATGGATAAGCAAAGATAATCGCAGAAAAGAAAAATCAGTTCAGGTTTGAAGGTTAGATGGATACCTTAACTAAACGTAAACTCGAAGGTTAGGTACAATTCTATACACGTTTTTTCAGTGATAATAAGTCAGACCGAACGAATCAGATCAATGAGTTCAAAACACCAATGCCTTTTCCGGATAGTCAGGAAATAGTAAAGTTCAGATATTTGCGTTGTCATATTCAGGTGAAACTAATGAACAAACGCACTTTTTCGTATCTTCTAACAATTTTGAGCTACTTGCAGAAGAACCCAGTGCGAAACAAAATAAAAATTAATTCAAACGTAAATCATTCTACGATTCTTATATTACAAATATTAAATTTGCTATAAACCATCCGATGAAAGATATTGCATAACAATTTTTAATAATTTGCAAAACATAAGAGAAAGAATATTTCGATATTGCTGTGTGTGTAATAAAAACATATGAAAAATATTATAAAATAATAAATTATTCATTATTCCGATATAACCAAGTATTGCTAATTTTTCTTTTTAAAGATTTATGGCATTATTCGTAATTGTTAGTTTAAAACAGATTTTCATAGAGATTCAATCAAGATGCATTGCACCTTTTTTTCCTGAGTGGCAGAACAGCATGTTGAAAACACGCATGCCTGACTAGAGTATGTTGTACCTCCTTTATAAATTACTACCCTTCGGCGTATAAAACGATAAAGCATGATTAATGGCGGTATACTAGAACCTCATTGAATTTATGGTCGCGTCGCTTGGTTGAGACAATCAATATATGGAACCGGAGTCATGCGGAATTGAATTTACGCATTTACCATTGACGACATATTTGCAAGCGCACAAGTAAATTATGGCACACTCTTAAAAACGTAAGAATACGCTAGACAGTTTCAATAATAAATGTAGGGCTTCAAAAACATACTATGACATTTAAAAATTTTCCAATGTATTATACAATAGCTTTTTGTATATAATAGCAATGTATTAACAATAGCTTTTCTAATTATGATAACTTAACTTAAGCTATTCTAAAACGTGACTCTAAAATGAATATTTTACTTTGGTGATAATAGTAAGAAAAATACCGCATTGTAAGGAAAATTTAAAGAGGAAACAACAGTTATAAATTCACAAGACGGTTTCAGATCTTTTCAGTAGTCGGGGTCCTAAACGACCATTTAGGCTGCTTATCGGTAGGACCGCCACTGTAAAACTTTCATCATTCTCAGAGGACGCCGATACGGTATCATTATGTGTTCTGTAAGCTCGGCATCTCCAAGCGGCCGAATATGGCGCTATAGTCTGCCAGCTTAGTGGTCGTGAACAACGCGTACGAGACTTGAACGTAACGAGCATCGCTCGACCACGTAACCTGGCAACGGGTTAAGTAGAAGAGACGACCGCTCGCATCTTCTTCGCGGTAAAAAGCAACGAGAGTGCGGCAACAGGGCAATCATCCTGTTTCGAGTGTATGTGTGTGTGTGTACGTGCGCGTATGTGTATCGGATGTGTACGACTTACATCTATTTTCTGCAACATTGGTCGTGTACATACACGACGAACCTAGGTTTATGGCACGCAAATGGCAAATAAATTCGTAAAATTCTTCGCATAACTATGCAAACAATAAATAAGATGTTAATTTGTAAATATATTCTTTTATTCTTTGTAGAAATTAATAATGATTATCATTAGCGCAAAACAAGTATTATTAATTCTATTTAATTTAATTCGCAGGTAAAATTATCAATGAAAACGATGAAATATCAAGATCGCGTTTAATTGTGGCGTTCTCGCGTGGAAGAAGCAGTTTAATCTGTTCGCTGACGCTGCGAGAGTAAACAACCGTTCACGAGCCCTTCAGCGCAAACAATGTACAGCAAACTAGAGAGAGTCCCATCTATTCCGCTCTAATTTCACCGTCATAGAGGTATTTGGTAATTGCGGGTTATCATTGTTTCCTCGGGCGTTCACGGGCATCAGAGAATAATAGCATAAACGCGGAGGCTGCGGGGCATGCGTTCACGGAACAGTTGGCGGGACAGTTTTCGTGTCGGGCTCTGCGCGAGCGAGTACGGCCCGACGAGATGAACTCGCCTCGTTTATCACCTCCCCGCCGATAAATCAGTACGCGCGGAATGCTTTGCGGTTCCCCATCGTGTTAGAACGGTTCATAAGCAGCGGGGGCTTCCCTGGGGTGCGGTTATCTTCGCATGTACCGGGTGTGCATTATCTCAGCCTGCCCTCGCGCGTGATGTACAAATAGTGCGCCGGAGCGCTCGTGCGCCTCGTCGCGCGCCCCATCCGTGAAAACACCGCCGAACATTATCGAGGGTGGAACGGCGCGTATGGGTGTGGTTCTGTGTGTTTATAAACTGGATTAAGGGGAATCAGCGGCGCGACGCTCCGTACCACCGCGCCATTTATTCAACGCTCACTACTCCGGCCATCCCGCGCCGTCGGACGCTCGCCGATCATTCCGATTGATCGCGTATTTAGCTCGAGTGTACCACTTGCGTGTGTACCTGTTATTGAGAATCGTGCCGTTTGGCGTGATAAATTCCCGTGAGAGTGAGAGGAGCGGGTAATCAGTGCGTGCTAGAAAGATATCATTAGAATCATTGACTTGGCGAATCAAT